CAAGCACGAAGCCCAAAGAAAAACGAGTTTTAAAAACGGGATCAGTTCCAACTATCCAATGCGCTATCCAAGCACCAGTGATCGAACAAAGCGCTCGTGAGAGGAGAAGATCGCAAGCGGTAAGTGTGGAATGCATGCTTTCTTTGTTCTAATAATTTTCATAAGTTAACGTCGTCTTCGACAGTTTCGTTGCCAGTTAAGAAGAGAGATAACGAAAAATCCTTGAGATAATAATTACGATTCACGTCGTATTTTAATCCAAGTTACCAACAAGGGTTTTCGGTGTTGGATGCTCATATTAAGTTTGTTTACGTGCGATGTAATGGCTACTTAATGACATCGAAATGTTGTCCAGCGAGGACCAAACCAGCTGCCTAGAAGAGTTCCATTCAACCTTGAATCAGTGTCATCCTAAGATGATATGTTTCTCATGGCTTGGCTCATACTGCAGGTGGGATCATGTTAAATCAGAAAACAAAAATAGTATCACCAAAAGCTGGAGATGCATGTCATCAATCGCAGCGCATAAGATATAATTTTACATAACTCATATAATTACAGTTGAAATCTTTTTGCCTGACGCCCATCGTTTTCTAGGTGCTACCCCTTTTTGAGGAGATTAATAAAGTTATTATTATTATTATTATTATTATTACCCCCTATAGTTTAAAGGCTCTTTTTGGCACAATTTGCGACACAAAACAAAATTCCATAAATGCGGAACTTTATCACTTAAAAAAAATTATCATAAATTTTTGATGAGCAACTTGTCGCGAGCCGCAGAGCTTAGTCAATGAGACGTCTTCAGCCTTTTTGTTTTTGCATATTTTCTCTGATTGACATCACAGCTGTGTTTTTCGCGTTTAATTTCTTTCCTTGACCTTCGTAGATTTTGTTTTCTGATTATTCAATTTGGCAATGGGATTATGTTTTGGCGATTTCTTTTTAATTTCGTTGATAAACGTCTGGCGCCGGACTAAAAATTAAGTGGAGAAAAAGTTAAGATTCACGCTTTGGTAATTAATGCTTTCTTTTGAATAACATACCATCTTTGAAGTTCAGAGTGCGTGTTTTACTGTGCTGTAGATCAGAGAAGATTGTGTTTCAGATTCAAAGTTAGCAGTTCAAGAAATTTTATTAGTTATCGGCTACTGCTTAACTTTCATTTGATTTAGAGCACAGATTTGAAATAAGACTGGATTGTGAATTTCCGAGATAAATCACTGAATATTGCCGATGATAGCGAAAGGTTGAGCTGTTGAGAAAAACTTAGAACGTAGGGGGTAAAAGCACACAACATGACCTCATAGAAAATAAGCACAGAAAAAAATCGAAACTCAAACATTGAGTGCGCAAATTAATTATTGCATCTGGCAGCGAAAGAAAAAAAAAACTAGCCCTTCGTAGCACGGCTAAATTTCATTTCAAATTGTTCTAGGACAGCCACACTGTGAATAATACATAGATCAGATGGCAACGCAATTTAAACCTGTTACCTTAGTGTCAAAGGCTGTTTTGATTAGAAAATCACGCTTACTGCCAATTTCTGTCTGTTTCTACTTTATATTATATTTTAATCTGGATGAAGTCGCTTAAGCTCACTCAAAGTAGAGAGGGCTGTCCAGATCTTGTTTCCAATCGTTTAATGTTGATCCTGAAACACAAGAAGTACAATCTATTAAAAACTAAAAATCTCAGACACAACATTCTCTTTCGCTATTTCCTGATTTCTTTCCTCTCTGTTAGTTCATACGAACATTTCTCAAATCTTCTGAAAATACTAGTCCTTCCACGCCTTCATAATCTTTGCTATAACCGACACAAATGAAAACACATTTTGATTCAAGGCTGATAGTTTCGAAAGAAACTGTTTGGGGCTGCGTCGGTGGGAGTAACGAAATAATTTGGATATATCAACAAAGTTAAAATGGTAAATGAGCCACCGTAATGATTACAAAAGCTGACGTTTCGAGCGTTAGCCCTTCGTCGGAGCTAACGACGAAGGGCTAACGAAGGGCTAACGCTCGAAACGTCAGCTTTTGTAATCATTACGGTGGCTAATTTACCATTTCAACTTTGTTGATATATCCAAAACATTTTGATTCAACCGTGGTGACTGACTAGAAATTCAAGATGAAAAAATGGCCACTTAAATTTTGTGTTTGTGTTTGGGACCACTTCAAACCGGGTAAAAGAGTACTTTTAAAGAAAATAAAATTTAAGTAGTATTAGGCATTGCCTTTTTGATCACGTTTTATTGTTGTAAGTAGCACATTGCGTGTATTGTAAGGAATATAGATTTGATTTGTCAGCATTTATCTCAACCGTCTGATGATTAGTTGTAATAAGTCGTTATCTTTTTCCTAAGTAAGTAAGCTTTTATAAGTCGACAACAAAATCAGCTTTAGAATTGTGAGCACTTGCTCACGGTTTAATTGTAAATTCTTTACTGCACTTCTTTTTAAGTTTCAAAAAGGAAAATAAAATGTATGGACTAAACAACTTTGAAGGGGCCGAAATGCAGATAAAATTGCAGTTAGCATGTTTTTTTTTCTTGTCGGTTGGCCGAAAAAAAGCTCCCGGGTTGTATACAGTCATTTTTGACGAGTAGTATAAGGTTTCAAGTCTCGTATGGTAAGTTGCTTCTTCCGAGCAATAAAAGCAATTGAGGCAATTACATATTGTCTACATACACATATCTTTGTTATTATGAGAGCTTGAAATACAAAGGAGTTTCCGATTTATTGCATTCATGCATACTTTCATTATTTACACAACCGCCAAATAAGTTAAATCTTACCCAGGGGAGGTACTACTCGGAATTTTTGGTTGACCTGTACCTGATTCTTAACATTTTAGGCTTACTCTCTCATACTCATGTCACCCTTAGTATAACTTACCACGATATTGGGTCAGTAACCCCTCCTTTTCTCGGCGGAAACACTAAAACACGTGGCACTCTATTATGTCTAACTGGCATAATATGTTTCACTCTCTCAGCATTTGGATACAAAGGTTTTCAAGGCCAAGAAACCGAATAAAAAGGGAAGAGAGAAGGCAAAAAAGATTTGAATGGCGCCGCAGAATTCTGATCAAGTTATTTTGACAAATGCCTCTTTCGAAGACAACGAAATTATTACAGGACAGCGTAAGAGGATAGTGATTTTTTCATTTTTAGTCTTAATGTCAATTTTTATTATTATTATCAACTGCTTCGTCGTGTTCTTGGTTTGGAGGAAAAGGACTCTTCGCACACCGGCGAACATGTTTTTGACAAGCCTTGCCTGCTCCGATTTCTTGTCAGGAGCTTGTGCGATCCCGCTGATCATAACCTGTGAGGTTTTGGAAACACGTCATTCGTGGAGTGGACCATTTTGCCTGAGCATGGATCTCATCAACAGAATGTTGTCCATATCCTCTATTTTTCACTTACTGGTCATCGCCGTCGAGAGGTACGTGGTAATCGTACGCCATGTGAAACCAGACGACTTTGTTAGTTGCAAGAAATACTCTGTGATCGTGTCTGCATTGTGGCTTATCCCTGTGTCTGCGTCTTTCATACAACTAACGTGGATTCCCCTCAAAGATGGCGTCCCACAGTTGCAAGGTATCTCTCAATCGGAGATCATTTACGACATCGTTTGCATCTTCGGATTTGTCTTTTTTCCCTTGATGATCATTGTTATCGCTTACAGCAAAGTATTTTCTGTTTTGCGAAGGCACGCAAAAGAAATAGACAAACACACATTAGTTTTTATGGCATCCTCTAGGAATCAAAGACATAAACTGAAGGAAAAGCGAGCCACATTAATCTACGCTTCAATGATCGTTTTTTACGTTATCGGATGGTTTCCTTACTTTCTTCTATCTTTGTCCTACGACTTGGGTGTCGGCGAGGAAGTGCTCAACATCCCTTACTGGACCGACACTCTTTTTATGTTCTGCAGATTTCTAAGCCCGCTTGTCAATCCTTTATTATACACATTTTTCAAACAGGATTTCAAAGCCGTGATTTTTGCTATGAGACGGGGATCTACAGCGAATGCGGACCAACTGTTAGAGACCTCATCCCCGTCGAACACAATTCCTCTGCGACATCTGAGAGATCCAGCGACATCAGGCGAACCTCTATAAATGAAGTGGTGGGTGAATATTTCCTCAAAGGCATGTCGAGGCTTTTTACTCATTTTGAAGGTGCAGTAAGCAGAAAGCATGATAGAAACGAAACGATTTGTTGCAAAGAATCTTAGGCTGTACTTCTGGCAACTTCAATTGTGGATACCAAGTACAAAGTTGAATCAGTTACATATAATATACGTCTTAGACTTGTCTAAGTCCTGAATTTGTTTCTCCTTCATCACTGTAATTTTAACCTCTATTAAGAGGTCACCTCTTTTTTAGTAGTCGTGGTCATCCTTAACTAAGTCCCAACCGCCTGTTTTTATTATCCTCCACCTGTATTGAACGATCACTGAAAGCGGAACCGCTTAAGCAGGTAAATTTATACCCTTTCAAGCCCTTAAAATTTTATTCGCCATACATATTATTCGCTTCATAAAAATCGACCGACTCCCTCGAGTCCTTCGCGCCTTTGATGAAAGACAGAAACTAGTCTTTCAAAACTTAGCTGATGGAAGAGTGACCACAGTAAACACCTAAGGGAAATATTTGAACCCACTTTTTTCCCTTCATTCCCGGACCCTCTAAATCGTATGCTTTTCTTTAACGTTTACTTTTTGTTTCATTTACCCTGCGAGCAGAGCCTTTTTCTTCTTTTCAAAAGGCTCTGCTAGCAGGGTATGTTTCATTAAGACATCTTCCACTTTTTTCGAAATACGATAACTATTTATCTTACATTGTAGTTCCACATCAGCCCTTCCGCAGCTGCTTTAAATTAACTAGTACTTACTTCATGCACTTAACTAAAAAAACAATTAAAGAGGAAAGTGTATTTTGCTGTGTTAGCTGGTGCTTTGTGTGGCTCCTAGCTGACATAAACTCTCACTGACATCTTCTTTAGAATCCCTTGAAGGGGTCGATTGACCGGCACAGATCACGGAAATTACCAACAATCTGTCATTGCCCTGTCTTCAATTACCTTAAAAATCGGTCTCTGATAAAAAAGCTTTCTCTTGTTGAGATTCTGATCAAATAATAAGATATTTCATCAGGTTTCAAGGCCATGTCTAAACGTTTTTTCTATCACAAAGTTTACATTAATTAACAAGCAAGCGATACGTCATTTTGAAATGCCATATCACCGGCTGGATGTTTAGTCAAAATCTTAATTTTCTTGATCAGCGCCATGTGATGGCTTTAAAACTGTTAGGAATCGATTGGACGTATCTCATACTGATATTGGATTGATCAAAAAGGGCAAAAGCAAGCTAACCCGACATTGTCTTTTTAGGAATTCGCAGCCATCGTTTGGTTACATCACCTAACGCGTTCTGCCAGATGGCGTTGCGCGACGTGACCAAATGTTACCGTAACGTATTGCGTGACAAGACAAACCAAGATGACCGATTGTAAGTCATCGTTCCGAACAAGACGATATTTGCAAGGACCCTTATAAAAGTACAATGATTTTTTACCATATCGGATATCTACAGCCATTTTAACATTTTATTATAAACACTTTTTTAATGTTTTCATCTAAAATAAACATGTTGCATACACTTACAAAACAGGGAAATTTTTAAATTAAGAAAATGCGCGACTTATAAATAGCTTTTCTTTCTTATCCTATAGCCAACTCTTAAAATCTCATATTGTCAAGTGCGTTCCCACTATTCGAATTAAATAATGATAGCAATTGGAAAATTCGGTCGCAAATGCTCCAATAGAGCCATAATTAATTATTCAAAAGAATACGTTCGAATTCTCTTCTTCGCCGAGACTTATGTCAGCGAATCCGTCTTTCTAAAAAACCCTTCACATCATTCGATCACGAAGATGCTAAAGTTATGAAATAAACAAACGAGTCCTTTTTAATTATATTTTGAGTCACTAAAAATAAAAAACCAACTAGAAAATTTCTAATACTTGGTTTCTGAAACCGTTTCTAGTTTACAGCGATCGATTAAGAACATCTTAAACATCTCTGAGAACCTTCTGAGCCTTTTTTTAGGATCAAAAGTTTTTTAAATTCTATCCAGAGGTTAGTGAAATTCCTTAATATTCGTTATTGAACATTTTGAAAATGTTCAGCCAAGGCCGTCATGGGCTTATTTTAGAATAATTATACTACAGACTTTTCCTGCTATTTGATTTATATTTTAAACAGTTCTATTGGTAGACTAATGCTGCAAGCTATAGCCTGTTCCAGTTAGTAAAATGATGCACGATAATAAACTGAGATGGCGATGGAGTGGAAAACCCAGGAAGGTTTGGAACGGGTCGCGACTCAACCCAAATCTCTCTAGATTTATCGCGTCGTTTATTATTTCGCTCCGTTTTACCAACTGGACGCCTTGAAAGACTTAGCAAGCTATTTTCTTAACAACCAGCCGAACTCATCATACTACAACTACAACCTTTAAATACTGTTCCAGTGTTCTCTAGCTTCGGTAAGCAAGCAGTTTTGCTCCTTTCATTCTTGGATCGATGTTTTCTGTGGGAAACAACATTTATGCAGAGATGATTACTTCGAATGGTGTTGAATGCGATGACACTGTAACTGAAGTCAAATTTTGTCATAAATAGCTTGGCTTGAGTTGTACTCCGCCCTCAAGAGGGGTGGAACCCAATTAGCCTTGTAACGCGTGCTTAGACAAGCTAGTCATTGAATTAACACGACCTCTTCCTCTCTGGTCTGCGGCTCCGTAGAAGAAATGATGGGCTCACAAACGACCGACTGCGGGCTCCGTCAATGAACTGGACTGTGACTACCAGGCGGAACTGGTTACGTCTCTCCGCATCCACAGTGGAAAGCTTGTAAACTGGTGTGCCTTTTTTCGACAAGTAAACGGAATCGAGATCAACGGAGAGGTATTGCTAAGAAGAATAAAAAGATAAATAAATCATTTAGAGGGAATAAAGCAAGGAGCATTTTTATCTTTATTGTTTATGCGTCAATTTTTTTTTTTACCTTGTTGACTACTTGTCCGCCCATTTTAACCTTCAACGGTACCTTGCCTGTAACATCACCACAGAGAGTTGTGGCCATTGGTGTTCGTTCCACATGAACATCAATGTGTGCAATTTGTGCATCGGCCGTCACCATTATGCGAACTTTTCCGTCGGTCAGTCGTTGCCTTGATTGACGGTTCACACGACTTTGGACTTTCTCATACTCCTAAAATGAGAAATAACGAGAGTAACAATCAGTAATTACTGACTAATAATGCATAAGAAAGGGGGGAAAAAGGAAAATTTTGTGGCTTACGTACTGGTCAGCTTAGGCATAACCGTGCCAGTAGCCCTTGCTGAACATATCTATCAACATTTTCTCTACTGACCTTTTTGAGACCCAGGAAATGAACTTTGACTTCTTCTGGCTCCCTGAATATGAACGGTGGCTTACAGTTTCTGTCTGGAACAACGGCGTCATCTTCATCTTCCTTGATGCATTGAGGCCTTTCCAACGTGTCTTCCTGATTCTTTTCTACCTTTGTTTTTCTATGTGGGAAATATAGAAAGTCTGTTGATTCGTCACACAATCCCCATTCTGCAGATAGAGTGAAGAAAAAGAATGGTCGTTTAGTACACATGAATGTAGCAGGGATTGATTATGTGGGGCAACTTTCACTGGGAGTGAGCCGGTTGCGATCATTATTCTAGCCCTGAGGTGGGGTTGGGTCCAGTTAGTTTTCACTTATATTAGAGAATTGGAGGTGTTCTTATGCCCACGCCCAGGGGCTGAAGGAAGAACATTTTCCTATATCTCTGTGGTTCGCTTTAGGCTTCTTTCAGCATATGGGCGTGGCCTCGAGAATCAATTACGCCTTCAGCGCTTGGGAACCTTATCTTTGAAAAACAACGAAGAAAATTGGTGGTAATTTTAGGCTATCCATTTTTTTCTTAAAAATTTTCGTTACCTTTTAAGATTTTTATTTTTGTACGGTCATTCAACGAATACCTCGTGCTGCGACAGATAATATAAACGGGCGTTTAAGCGTTAATAATAACAATAGCAATAATAATAATAATTTAATATTTATATTGCGCAAATTAACATGTGGATATGATCAAATGCGCATCACAGCACTTTTCAGGGGACTTTGGCCGGACTGCATCAGCAGTTTACAAACAATGGAAGGAAACTTATTTGAAGATGCCTCCTCCCCCCAATTCCCAGTAAACAGGCCAGACCACATCACAGTAATCTCGTGAGTGGGTTCTTTAACGTACCCTGCCTAACCAAATTAACTAATTAATTAGTAGATGCAGGAGACGGGACCTACGGTTTATTCGTCCTTATCCGAGAAGACTAGAATGTCTATCCATTTCTTGATTTTATAGAAATGTAGTGCATTCTCCTCAGTTATTTTAAGACCTTGAGTGTTGGTCCGGCCGGGGCTCGAACCATCGACCTCGACCTCCCGCAAAACCTCCCGCACAACAGTCCAGCGCTCTAACCACGTTGAGGCTCCTTCGGTCCTACAGTTATAAAGGGAAAATCCCGATCGTGGTGTTTGATGGGGACTCAGTTTCGTTTAGGTAGTCGAATCCTAGTTCGTTACTCGTGGAAACTATACTAAGGTACACTAAAGATCGAAAACCAAACCATAGACCAGGAAGTAAGGGCTTGTACTTCCTCATTACAGAATACTATGCACTATCATAATGTTCTAGTTTTGTTCAAATTAAATTGCTTTTGATTTTCGAATCATTTGCAAGCTGAAAAGTTTATTTTTTTTGACATCCCAGACAATTTGCTGGCCTCTAATTTTTACTCAGGACTTTAAGGCAAATTGTGTACATGCCTCTACCGACTGACACGTGACCTCAAGTAGTGTGGCCAATCACAACTTGCCGACTAGGTTGACATTTTTCATGGGCATCAACTCTTCTATAATCACCTTGGGCCTTCTTTTTATGTCACCAGTAAATGACACATTCACCAGAAAGACGGAAAAAAAATTAATCTGAAAGTTTCTCCGGAACGTGGTGCTTGGATTTTTTTTTTTTTTCTACGCTAAAAAGTGGTTGTTTTAATCAGTGTGTAAAATGAAAGGAATTTTTTTTTAATTGCCTCCCCCAGCTACAGCTGAGATAAACAAGACTGTTGCCAGGCAACCTCATCTCGAGTTTACTTCTAATACCCGGCGTCCTGCAGGCGCGTCATACCATCGTCTTATATCATCATTCTGTTTTACCTCTTTTTCGTTCCAGTATACTTTCTCATGTATGATCGTGAATTACCATTCCGTGCTTGTAAATCAAGTAAAAAGGTATCTTACAGCTTTACGTAATGTCTGTTGACAGTATACCCTGGGAAGCCCCCTCTATTAAAAAGACGGAAATAATAGAATTTTACATTTACACACCTTCTAGGCAGTCGCCGTCCGCTAAAAGATAGTTTAGCCAGTTATCTTGACTGCACTGAAAATATTCTTCCATATCCATTACGAATGTTTTGATAAACAGTTAGTCCTGATCTGTTCCGTGAATTAAAACCGGTCTGATGTCTTTATGCCTTGACTGCAAAACGAGTACTGAACCAACGTGCCTCTGAGATTAAACCATATAGACTTGAAATTTACTTCCGCTGGCTATGCTAATGCCGCGAAGCACGTGCAGACACGCGGAAGCGTCAAATTGTCCAATTACAGTTCAACGAATATTTCTGCTTTAAACGAGCTGTTTACAGGAGCACGTAGTCAACTTGAGGTGTTTTTCTCGAACAGTTGTGCCCTGTTAATTTTATCTTTGTTATTCAATGACTCCAGAGGTGCTGCTAAGGAAGTGAATGTTTGGTCTCTGGTGGGAGAACATTTGTGCTCGTTATTTAGAAGCAAAATCAGGCAGAAAGCTTTCACGCTTTCACAATGTTTTCGAAGTACTTTCCATAAAACCGAAGTTTTTCAGTTTGCTAATTTTGATGAGTTTTGAATGTTTTTGATAGGAAAATATTCCAAATTACGGAAAACGTGACTTTGTATTCACCCCAGTCAACCAATATCAGTCATAACAACTGAATTTCGACCGCATGCTTCGAGCGGTTGGTCTCCTCTGTGGAGTTTTTTTTTGTCAAGTTGTACCCGGTACTCTTGAGATGTAAATAATTTTCTGTCGAAGGAAAACGAAATATTTTTTGATGTGTTGATTTTTGACACATGTTCATCGAGTATGAGCACGAGGTCTGATGATTTTGAACATTTGTTTCGGCTTTAAAAGGTTACAAAAGCCATGATGTTGTATTTATGAACTGGCAAGAAACATCTGACCGGAAGCCGTCGCAGCTTTTGTCCGGTGTGACTATGCAAATCAGTTGTTGTTATGATAACAAGTATACATTGTTCTTACGAGACGAACATAAATTTCTTTCAGATGTTTTTCAAAATCGCAAGAAAAAACATTCAACTTCTCAAATGCATCGACAAATGTGACGCTTAAAATCTATCATGTTAGAAATATTCTCGAGTCGAAATCTGTTTCGTTGTGATCGTGTAATTTTGTATTGTGAGGTCGAAAGTACACCGTTTCGCACTACTGCTAAGCTGATTTATAACAGATGAGGAATATTCATTCGAAAAGATCACGTCTTAATCATCTTTAAAAGGTTCCTCTGACTTTGAAATAAAAAAATTTTAGCAAGTCATAGGTTTTCGATGTCATGATATATCAGAGTTTTAATAATAGTGTACCTGATAAATAGGAAACACGAAGTACTCTCGATGTACGTGACTGTTTTTGAAATTATGAGTGCTTACAAGCGCTCACCACCGCAGCGGGCGCCAATACCACTTTGGTTTTTCAAGAACGAGAGGTAAGATACGTAGAAAAAAATAATTGCAGATATCATTCTTTCATGTCATCAATGTTGAGTATCTAAAACAGGCTCGCCACAATTCGATATATTTTTAGGCTTGACATCGCAATGTTGTTTTCGCGAGAGCTTGTCACAAGTGAACGGGTTTTACTAAAAGTACACGTTCTGTTCTGACTTGACAATGTTTGGAAATAAAAATCGGCTGTTCTTTTAGTTTTTTTGCAAGCATTTGATTTTGCTGACTCTCTGGGTAAAGAAAAATTGTTATAATTCTTACATATTTTGTGACGATATGCAAAACCGCGCGCGTCACGCAAACCAAAAAAAAATAATTATAATTTGTCATACGATTCGCCTTAATATGTCGAAGCATTCGCGATTTGTCTTTAAAAACAATTTATATAAGATCACGTTTATTAACATCACGATCAATTTTTCTTTTTTTTATATATGTATTTGAATAAATTTTCTCTCCCGAAGGAACAAAGCCCTGAACATTTTTGATATTCAACCTGAGTTGGCAATTTCAAATTTATAGAAACTACCTCGATCAACAAACAAAAGATGTTTAGGCAATATTCCCGTTGTTTTACAGTGCGCTAGGAATAGAATTGCTGAGATTTTTCCTTAAAGCTTTCTGCTTTCGGTTTCTGTTTCCCGGATTTCTTAGAAAAACCGGCAGAATTTTTTCCGGAAGTACAATCCATAGATGGCTGTAATAGTCCTACGTGACGAGTTGGTCAGGCATTTAACCAGGAGCAAATATAATGAGTCACGGTTGGTTGTTGGTAAATATTGCAAATTAGCGCATGGCTAAGGCTTGCCAAAAATAGAACGAATATAGCTCAACTATAAAAGTATTTCTCCTTCCTATGGATCAAAATCTACCTTTTTATTTTCAAGTTAACCACCAGGATTTCAACAAGCAATCATGTAACTTGAAAAGTTTGTAGTTGTCTACGTGAGTACGTGCCGGTTTGACCGGGAAGCTAAGTGCTTTGTTTTTGTGTTTCGTTTTCAGTCAGGTACAAGATATGTCTGGGATTTTGATAAATTCGTCCTGTTTACCATAAACAAAGATCACGTTTCACTAACATTTCCACTGTACGATATTTCAAACAGAACAAGGCTCACGTATACTAGAGTATGACTTTTACCATATAGTAAACTGTAATTTATGTACATTCGAAATTTTTTTTCAGCCGACTTTTTTCTAAAATCGAAAACATGTTTTTTTTAACACCAGATCTGCATGAATAAGTGTCCTATGGTAAAATTTAATTCCTCGTAGCAATACCGGATTGTTCAGCTAAAATGCATTTCGTGATTCGAAACCATTGAAATCTCCTCACCTCCAGTTGGCTTGTAATGCTCAAGCTTGACGCATCGTTTTCTCTTAGCGGTATTTTCGTAAGCAAAATTATATGAAGGTACACTGATCTTGTATGTCAGGTAACATTGCTTAGTCTCCTTCGCTGCCTTGCTTTAATAAGTCACGCAAAGCTCCGTTGCGTGACATTCAAAGCGCAGTCGAAGAGGAGGCTACATACTGTATTTCCATCAAAGCTAAGAATTGGAAAAGTGTTTAACCATTTGATATTTATTCACTTTGTCGATTGAAAGCATGCTAGAGTTTTGGCTTGTTTGGTGACCAGGAGCAAGTCACCATATCCTGCCTCAGGAGAGTGTGTAGCAGCAATGTTTACATGTCGGGTTTTTTTCCTGAGACGTGATAAAGCCGTTGAAAATGTTCCGTCAGATTCTGACTGAACCACATAGTGTTAAATAAAAATATACCGAATTAAACAGCTTCAGTTTATCAATTCCGAAGGAAAAAGATACGCAAACTAGAAAATTTACTTGTAGGTTTGTTACAGGTACCTCATGTTACAGTGTGAACGACTTGCTGAACCATTCTTAATCTGGAGACTAGAAGATATCAAGAACAAATAAAAACACTAGAAAGGCAAAACTACGCTAAGAGAGAAAAAGGAAGGAGGATGTTAAAAACGGATTGCATTGGTTAAATTATCTTCAAAATACACAAAGTGTGACCTAACAGCTCAAAAAGCGTGAACAAAAGGAGAAAGGCCGATTCCAGTTATTATATTTTCTGAACGCATTCCTGCACTTTGGTAGACGGGGGCGAAAACAGCAGGAGCACTTTTTAGCCAGTTTCCGCTCCGCCATTGTAAACTCACGATTTGTAGTCCCCGAAACTAAAATTTGTATAAACAGATTTGTCAGTTGTAGAGGCGGAATTTTCTGAGTACAAACAATTCCTCAATTTCGTCTTTCTAAAACAAGAACATGAATGCCCAAACAAAGATATTGGCATACTAACTCTACCCTGTATGGACTTTTTCTATAATTTATAGGGAGAAAAATGATTTCGAATTGAATTACGGTAAGTTTCAAGTCATGGCCGAATACCTACGGGCAAGGCACAGCAGCTTCAGCAACGCTAATATAAGGTGTGGGTGGTGGAGTATTCTTAATTTATTGGGCAGAACTTTTATTCCATGTAAGGCCGCCCGCTTTCTTAGACGATAAACGAGTCGTGCCAAATGAAACATTTTCATTAAGAAGTATACAAGGCATGTTCGCTTTCCTTGTGATTTCATAATACCAGGAAGTAAGGAATGTCTGCAGTATCTGGACCCCCGGAAGAAATCAGGTCCTCACCTGTGAAGGAATGTATGTCTTCCTGTTGTTTTTTTCAATACCTTTATAATTAAGAAATATTTGCTATTTTGCACACGTTTTGTTTGTTGAAACTTATTTTGAGTGTACAGATGTTTTGACTGTATTGCTGAAGGAGTCTATTTTTGATGATACATTAACTATACGTCATCATCCTCTCGCTCTCCAGAAGGCCAAGAAAAAACCGCTACATCATGGATCAAGAAGCTCAAAACGTTTGATTGAACACTGTGCTAAAGCTATTCCAAAGTGTTATAATTTTTATATGCATGAATGATGATCGCTCTGACACACTTTCAGGTCTAGTATATTCTTTTTCTAATTTCTATTTGTCTTCTCATTTGTATATGCACTCATGACAACTTCTCTCAACGCAATGCAAAGTACGCCTCTGTTTTTATAATCAAGGGCTTATTGCAGAGGTAAGGCTCACACGCTCTGTCGGATTCTCGCGCTCTCTTGCGAGGCAATGACATTCTCGTTGCCAGCCTACTGAACCGCGATAATGCGCTCGGCATTTTGTGGTGATCAGTTGGAGATATAGCAATTAGTTAGATGTAGAGCCAAAGATTTTATCGTAGACTGAAAGATGAGGGTTCCTTTTGAATCTAGGATTTTTGGATTCTTCTGGTGCGGCGATTCAAAGCCCTGCCGTCTGAGGTTTGTCACTGACGTTCTCTTTTGGTTCAGTTGACCTGGAAGTCAAAACTTTCAACGCCAAAACTATGTAATGCATTTTCGTTTGAAAACAGCTACATACATTATATTTTGATGCGGTTTTGCCAACCGCCCACTCTCAAACGTCTGAAAACGCTTTTAATAATAGACCGTTCCATAGATACGTTAAAACTGAGTGAAGACGAATCGTGTTGAAAGGTTAGAACGGAAGGTTTTGAAATCAGTCCGGTGTTTCTTAACCGTTTATATTCGATGCGTTTTTCTGCGGATGATAGCATAGAAATACCAAAAAACCGTGATTCTAAATATAGCACCAGGGGGCGTTTTGGTGTGGAAAGCCAAAATTAACATGAAAACATGTTATCTTTTCTTAAGGGAAAAACGGATATTTTGCCGGAAAACCTGTTGAGTGGTGAGCGACTGTATGTCTTTAAAAAGCAGAATAAAACAAAACAAAAAACAGATTTGCGTGGGTCGCTTATATTAGCATATTAATAGGCGACATTTTGCAATGGACCATGGAAATTTCACAAAATGAAAATAATAATATGGTTGTGGAGTTCCAAAGTAATGACATGTCAGGAATCCCATAACGAACAAGACTATGACACAGTCCCATCGTGTAGCAGTTTTAATACATCAGGTTCGGTGGTGGCTCAGCCATTCACTGTGGATGAAAGAAGGATAACATACAGTGGGCTCCGCATCCGTAAGCTCCGTAGACCTCACGCTGATCAGTTACAGACAGTTTACCCACCTTAGTTTTTCTTGAGTATGATTTTATATGCATGTACGGAAAAGCATGCATATTCACGCTTTTCAGCAGAGAGAGTTCATTCTCATTTTAGCGGGATATAACAATTATTCTACCGCTCCTAAAACTAGCTCTTTAGACGGTCACGGGCAACTAATTGCCCACTAACTGCGCCTACAAGATTCCTGTGACGAGGTCGAACTTGTAACGCGAAATATCTACTAGCCCTAAAATGCAATTTTGTCTTCGTCCATCTCCAAGTCTCTCAAAAGCCATCCTTTCAAACATGGCTGTTTTAAAAAGTACACAAACTTAACAAGTTATAAGTACTTTATCACGGTTGAGTAAATTCCACCACGACCGTGTCATTTCTGTTATTTATTTGGGCCGGGTCACAAACTCGCCCACGTATGTGGTGAACGGAAGACTCTAGAAAAAATCTGGTGATTTATTTTATCCTGCGTACACTTGTTTTCTTGGTCGAATATTTGAAATGTTCGACCAAGAAAACAAGGAAAAATTTGCTGCAAGGTACAACAAAAAATATTGAATTTTTCCAAATACAGTAAGTGATATGTGGCAGCTCTCAGTTGCGTTATTATGAAACAGTGGTATGAAGGAAACGCAACCGGTCGTCTTCCTTGAGACCGAGATCACGTCCGAATCCCGTGTATAGAATATCTTCCCGTTTGGCTGAGAATAACTGAATGCCATCATTACATTTTGTGTACGTTTTGCAAATAAGATATTTCTGGCCGTTGCTAAATGCCTCTCTTCAATTCCTGAAGCAGGCTATTTATGATAACTTGCAGTCTGTATTTTAGTATTACCGGTAGTTATAATAACAACATTCTCCAAACCTCCTTACCACTTCCATTTGAAATGAATGTTACCTTTTTATTTTCAGCAGGATCATTATAAAGGGATGGATGACATTGATTTGTGGAACGCTGGTCCTTATTGATTCATCAGCAGTTGTTTTGATAAGATATGTTGTGCTGAAGTAACTAGCATTTGCTGAAATCCTAACGATGCTACGTCACCTTAGCTACCTAAGGGTTAACTGTGTATAGTGATCACGTGTAGAAGAGTCCCGCCATATTACAAAATTTCAAAGTAGGCTTGCAGGAAAAAGTCTTGAGTCGAATTAAAAAACATCGAGAAACACGGAATGTAGGGGGCCTTTTGTGCTACCTGGGAAGTTTGGGCCATGTACACTGTGGGACATTAACCTGAAAAGACGGAAACTGCATGTTCTTTCGTATAAATACTGCGTATGCGAACGGTAAGCGATGTACATTGATGAAGTCATGATGTAGGTTGTTACCGCTATTATGAAATGTTCTGATTTTCGGCGTAGGGATATTGTTTTGTTATTTTATAAATCATCTTATGAAAGTCTTCAGTTTTCTTTTTTCCTCCCGTTTCGTATACCATTCCTGAACATCTGATAAGACAGCCATCGTGTTAGCTGTACGTTCTGCTGGGAAACATTATTTCATAGACAGTAGCTTCTAATAGACGACTTCCCATCTCTGATAAGCTTATTTTTTCCTTCTGAACAAACTTCCTAAGTTAGAAACACACTGAGGGAAAACTGATAATGGTATCCAAATGGTTTCATTTCACAGCATTGTCACACATTGTATTAGGCTGGACAGTATTGCAGGTCAAAATGTACTAATTTGAAAGCCTTTACTTGTTTCCGTTCAGAAAAATATATGCTGAAGGGTTTTGGAATGCATACTGTACATAGCATTCCATAAGGCTGGGAAAAAGTTCATTTGATACAAGAAGGTTATAACTCAATACATGGAGGGTCTCCCAATGAGTTCTTAATGATTAGCCTTCTGCTTTCCTAGCCCATATCTCTCCAATGAAGTTCGTTAACTCTTCCTCCATTACTATCCTTAGAGTATTTGCATTAAATCTATAGCAGTTTCTGAAATGCATTTTGTCATGACACTTCTATGACATGAAAGAAAAGGGTTTTCATGGTGAAAGGAAATGGGGAGGAAATCATGTGGTTAAGGTAAAAGTATTACAGCTCTGTGTTGTATTATTGCATGTAACTATTGCTTTTCAAAATTGCTAGCGTTCTATAGCTCATCCTTCTCTACAGTTTGATTCAAAATGAAATTCCTACATCATATACCCCTCAGCCTTCTTAGGTATTGTCCGCAGTGAATTGTGGCTTTTAATACAGGCGTTAGCCATGATAACTAAAGAATAACTTCACTGATCTTTAACTATGCTTTTGAAAAGTTCATGTTTAGTTGTAAATGATAAGTTAATGTATGGTGTCTGAAGTTTTGATGGTATCTGTACCCCACTACCATTTATATGAAACTGTTTGGAGAAGTAGTTTACATGCAAAGTCATTTGTTTTAATACAATATTATTTTGAATATTAAATGCCAAGTACCTAATTGATGTGAAGTTCCAAGGCTTTTTAGTTATAGTTGTAAAACTTTGAAAATCCTTAAGAATCTTACTGTGAAGGTATAGCTAGTTTTAAAGTATTGTAGGAAGATATATGGCTGTCTTTTAGGATAAAACCCTTATTGGGGACTTACTAATAACAAAAACTGAATTAATTCCAGGGGTATTTAACTGAAAAAATGCCACCTTGTTTTCAAAATATTTGTGTATATTCAATTGCAAATCATAAATATCTATGATAACAAAATAAATAACAAGTTTGTCCTATAGTTTAGAAAGCAGTTTTCACTCGACTGTGGAAAACCAAACCCAATGAAACAACAGGGCCACAGTCGTAACAAAGGTTGTCATTGTAAGCCAATGGGGACTTGACATAAAAGTGGGTTAACTACAAAAACTTAGGAAAATACTGGTTACCATTGATTGCTGTTTAGCATCTGATTGTCTTAGGCGATCAAAAGAGGTACTGAGACTAATCACAGAGTGAAATAAAGCAAATACAATCCCATGTACTCTTGACACTCCATTGAAAACAGCTAAAAAATATTTAATGAAAGGAGCATGGGATTGGAAATGTCTGGGGTATCTTCCACATAAACTGAAGCATAGAACCAAGGAAATTTGGGTCTGCAAAATGGGTTTTGAGCTGATGGCCTTCTGTAACCCAACAAGGCATTTCTCTACTGTTGCACTTCCTGAGGTCAAGAGTCAACTTTATCCCAATCACAACATATACTTGCCTGGTAATTCCATCCATGTTATGTATTTTTGTGTGAGTAACATGGCTAGTTATATTTTGTGAACATTTTATAATCCAGCTGAAAATGAAGACTTGAAAATCATATATCAAACTTGTTTGGTTTGAAGTTCCATCTGCTCTACTGTCTCCTGAATTAATTTAGACCTGAAATCATTTTGAACTCAGGCATTTATTTTCAAGCATTTCTGGTGTTTGCATCCATTTTTGTCCTTTGGAAGTGCAAAGGTAAGAGCCTTTAACGCTTTACTCTCGAAAGGGATTTCAATCAGAAAGGAATTTTATGCATTAAAATAATGTAAGTAAGTTGCAATATCAAACCATATTCAGCAAACAACTCACAATTTAAAGCAAACTTAATCACAGTTAGAATTTGAGGTGCTCTCACAATTTAACACATTTCCCTTAATAATTTTTCTAGGAAAGGTATGGAAGCTCTTGGGAAGAACTTTGTATTAAAAATTGAGAATTAGAAGGCCAGTACCTTCTATGGCTACACTAGTCATAGCCTCCTTTGCTTAATTTTGCAGAATCAAAATTTTATTCCCATAAATTCACTTTGCAAATGGAGTGTTGAAGATACAAACAATAATTTGTTTACAATTGATGAAAGATTTAGATTAATTTAAATAATTTAATTTCAGTTTTACAGCAGCAGGATCACCGTAAGATATGGTGACATCAAAATACATGTCTGATGACTTAACAAAAATTATATTATGTACAAGAAATGATTTTTTCTGGATTCATTAGGTAAATTAACTCTACATATTTGTGGTTCAAATTTTAGAATAATTGCAAGAATGTTCTGTCTGCCTGGTCTGTAACATCTGTATTGTAAACACTTTCATAAACTAACCCTAGTGCTTGCCATTGCTAAAATGCAAGCGCGCTTGCAATTTTTTTTTTTTTGTTGCGAAAATGCCCACAAAAGATGCTGAATCTCTAATCTGCATCTGTGTCACCCTTAAGCTGTGTACAGCTGCCCCCATGCTATCCAAAAAAATTTAGGAACGGCTTTGGCCTGTTCCAGGCTCACAGTAAGTGGAAACGAATGAACGATGTACTTGCTTCCCCCCCCCTCCCCCATTTTTCGCGCGTCCGCCTTTTCTCTCCCTTTCACGTGTCTTGGAGCTTGGCTTAGGCTGGGTCATGTCAATTTGGAGCACACTTCTTCATGTCAGAGGCTTATCCCCTAAATTGTTCTCCTTCATCGCGTATCTTGAAAAATCACTACGTTTAGTCCCACTCCGTTGCAGACTATGTAGGGAGTAAAAGGAAACGGCTGATTCGCAAGAGTATGTTTCATTAATCCGCACGTTTTAAAGAGAAGAGGCCATTTGTTGAGACTCAGCAAATGAGTTAGTAGAAAGGCCCGTCCTTCTGTTGGAAAGCGAAGATGTGAATGTGGATCGACGATACGACCAAGTTCGTTTTCTTGAAGCACAAATAGATTTTCTGGCCCGCCGAAAATCCTGCTTGAGAAAGGTATACAGCAGTGGGTTTAGGAGACCAGTGCTAAACCTCAAAATCAATAAAATTACATCAGCCCATAATGGGATCCCTGTCTTATTGCCTAAATCGTCTTGCAACGAATTGAAAAAGTAGTTGAACCATCCTATGATGAAAACGCAAATCATCGCGCTGTAGATAACCAGTGCTTTCCGTTCCTTTTTGGCATTGCGTTGCGTGCACTGCGAAGAAATAGGAGACACGTCGCGTTTTATTCGCTCGCAGTGTTTCCGTTGGGTGTAGAATATGTGGAAGTATGCCACTCCCATAATGACAAGAGGAATAACGGCTAGAACTGCCAGGCAAACGAAATCGTAGGCGATCGCGAGTTGGCTCTGACCAGGTGCTTGCTTTGGATCAGGTATGAATGAGATCTGTGAGAGTGAGGCGCAGAGCGAGGTTAACCAGACCACCAATAGAGTTACTACGCAGGTTTTCCTGGACATTACTGACGTAGTTCTCATGACTGAGAAAACTATTGTAAAATATCTCTCCAAGGTTATTAAGAGTAGGTGAAGCACGGTTGATATCGAGAGGAATCTTTGCCCCAAGTCCATAGCCACACAGATATAAAAGTTGTAATGAATGCTACAGGCGATAATAAGAGGTATTGCATACAAACCCGTTAAAATATCGGATATCGCTAGGCTTGCCAGGCAGAAGTTGGTCACCGTCTTCAGATATTGTCTGGTACACACAAGATAAACGACGAACCCGTTGATAACAATTATAAATAGTCCAATTGTGGACAGGATAACGAAGGTGGTTATGATTACAGCCGAGTCTACTTGGGAATGAACGTCCATTCCGTCTTGTGAAGTGTAATTTAAATTACTGTCGCACTGGTCTGCTTCTTTATCTCTTCTTGGGTTTCGTTCTGTTGAAGTTTTGCTTCTCGGATCTGATGGGGTGAATAGAAATTCCGAGTTAATTTTCAATTCTTTATGCTCTTTTAGTGAAATAATAGCAGTCACATCTTTGGAAAGTGTAAAAAACTATTTCCCAAATATTTATTAATTGCTGTATGCTAATTGGCCGCTCCTGGACAACATATCAATTATAAACCAATGTTAAGTGAGATCTTTCCTTTAATATTTTATCAGGTTAAACATAAATAGGAAAAATGGTGGCATTTTGTTTGCCTTTTTCATTGTACTCTCTCATGGTACCTTAATTATAGTTGGGTACTTCTATGAAATCTTATTTTCCGTAATTGCTCTCGAAAATCTTAAGAGCAAAATTGACGCAGGATATGATACTTGGCTGCGACAAACTTGTGAAACGGCGGTGCGGGGAATGAGGGGAGGGGGGTAAAGTGACGATTTTAGCTGTATACTCTGATCTACAAGTGTCCCTTTAAAATAACTTGAAAAATTCGTCGTATGAGTGGAGTGTTTACAATCGTTTTAATCTACAAAACTGAATAAAGGCAAAGATGAAAGGTCGGATGGAAATTATTTTCATGACATTATTTCACCTTCTGTTTTCGCCGCATTTTCGTCGCTTTTCTCGTTTCATTGTAAGCAACAACCAGTTAGGGTGATTACCATGAGGTTTCTACTTTGGAACCTTCCAAAACGATTAAATTTGAGCTGGTTTGAGGACTTGTACGTAGCCAGCGATTCATTAGTATGAACTTATGACTTGCTCAAAAGTTTTGGGGCAATAGTTAGAACTTTTCTGCTCGCTTTACCCAGACTAGGACTATTGCTGTTTTAGCCGCATACTTCGGGTATAAGTCGGGAACTTAATATAAATCAAATTTTGGCCAGAAAGCTCTCCGAGGACCACCCCATGCTTATTGAATCAGGGCCAAGATTTTTTCATAACCCAGTGTTTAGATTTGATGAATTGACGGCTCACAATGAGATCTTTCAAGTTTGACAAAAGGATGTACTAATGAACTTCTATCTGTTTAGGCCTGGAAAGAGAATTTGCTGGTATTGGATTTTCTGTTGGTTCTACAAGCAACTCTTACTGAGAAATTGCCACAGGTCGGCCTTACTTAACCATGAGATAATTTGGTTTTATGAACTGAGTTGATAATGTAAACTGACCACTGTAAAGAGTTTCTGAAGCTGACGTTTCGAGCGCCGGTGTTAGCCCTTCGTCGGCGTCAGCTTCAGAAACTCTTCACGGTGACTAATTAACATGATCAACTCAGTTACTAAAAACAAATTATCATGTAATACCCCCCCNTACCAACGCAGCACCACATTTTCTTTAGAAGCTTATCACTGTAATCACGAATTATAATTAATTAAAGTTCTGGATATTTGCATAGCAGTATCTTCTTTTCATGAGAGAAGGAGGCAACCAGGCAGGTGACAATTTGCACCTCTGTGGAGGACACTCATCAAGATTTTGCCGCGCACAGTTAAAAAAGAGGCTTGTGGCAAGAGCTCGTGTTTTCGAAATGATTCCTCTTTTTTCAAGTGTTTCCCGGATAAATAACAAACGGGTCTGTGTTTTCTTGTGGTACGCAATCAGATCTTTAGTCACTCTGTCTAGTACTTCAGTGGTTGTGATTCTATCAACCGCGTCTCTGGTTGGTTGGAAGGTGTAGGCTCACGTAATGTACGGATCATTTTAAGGATACAGTCTGGTTCGTTAGTGAAAAGTATTTTATTTATTTATTTAGTGTTGAGGTGGCGATGCTGTATGAACGACATAAAAAGGTGGACAGTAATGCATGGAACATATTGTACACAATTGAAATGTTAATTTATGATTCCTCTTACTGTCACTGAGGACAAAAAGTGCTCGTTTTTAATTTTGTTTTTCTCAAAAATAATTTTTACGTACTCTTTTGTTCAAAGAGTGCGGCGGTTGTAGCGATCACAGAGAAAGTAGTAATGTAACAATGCTGTTTTTTTTTCCATTAGAACTGTGCTCACTGAACTTCAATGCAAATATAAGACGCTGATATTATTTTCTCTATATTTTGGTGCAAGCAAATATTATTAATTGGCACTGAATATCTCTTGATAGTTTTACACAGATGGGATTAGGGTTTTCTCTAAATTGTGAAAGATGAAATCACTTCGTACCACTGAGACATTCACTGGAAAGACATCAGAACATTGTTCATTTGCTCTCCTTTTAAAGTCATTTTTGAGCGAAAAAAAGTCATGATTTTTCGCCTGGTGAGGCAACGGTACAGTAATGTAGTTCAAAGGTTGTTGCTTTTAACTAAAAGCTTCTAGGTTGGCCGAGGATTGGGCGTTGTTTGGTCTAAGGAGTAAGAGAGTAGTTTTGGGTTAGTTGCTTTTTACTGGTGCTTTAAAGTGTCAGGGTTTTTATTGTTTTGGTTTCTCTTTAACCTGTAAAAAAGTATTCTAAAAAAAGAAAATTGATTCTGACGCCTCTTCACCCTAAAATCGAGCTTTAAAGTTCCCGCTTCGGCCACGCCCAATGAAGGTTGACCGCGTAAGGGAAGATTGGTGATGAGTGACGTCACTCCAGGAGCGTCTCGAGCGTCGTGTTGTTACTTTGCTTGATAAACGCAGTACTTTTACAACACCTCTATCGGGCATGTTTATGTCGCCGAAAACTCTTTACCTTGCTGAAAAAAACAGTGAAATGAACCACTGGCGGGATTTGACCCGTTCTGACTTGACGTCACGATCCATTCTGAACCCAATCTATTTTTTGCCCCGACTTACGGTCGCCTTCAATGGGCGTGGCCAAAGCGGGAAGTTTAAAGCTCGACTTCAGGGTGAAGATTCGTCAGAATCCAATTTTTATTTAAGAATACTTTTTTACATGTTAAATACATACCAAAACTATAACAACCCTGTTGGCCGTATAGACACTTTAAGGATGGTCCTGGATTCGGGCAACTTGCCTTTTTTGTCAAGCGGACTACTCAGTGATATTTGGAAATGCAGGCATGCGATACATGTCTTTTCTGTGGTAATTTCGATTAGGAAAGTATCAACTTTTAACGATGGTATTGTCCATCGTCTTTATTGAAGAAATTATGGAAATTACACAAAATAGTATAAAAATGGAAAAAAATTTTATTCTCTGTTGTGACTTGGTTTTGTCTCCAAACACAAGGGATTATAGTTTATATTGAATATCTTGCTATGACCATGACTGATACTACTAAGGAAAAAGAAACCTTTGCAGCGATGATGATGAGCTGTAAACGCTGGTAAATTTATAACGTGCTTACTGACCTGAAAACGAAGGGTGCCTTTAAATGTGTTGAGTGTGTCACTGTCTTAGCGTAGTTCACTTTTCAGTGGAATAAAATCAGCGATAATGCGTTGCTGGGATCCAGAACGTATCACTGGTAATGATAAAGGTGTAAATTGTTCTTTTTTATGTGTTTTACGTTTCAAACGCATTTATCCTTTGTTATTTTAATTTAAAGGGATAAGGTCTTGAGCTTATTGACTCTTATTGATCCTTTTTGATATGTTAATGAAATGGCAGTTGGATGTGGAAAGTCTCTGTATGCTGATGTGGATCGATCTCTCCTAGTTCATACATGATTTTTCCATTTTAGTAATCGAAAAACCATCATGAAAATCAAGAGTGGAAATTAATGGGATCTTTTTTTGCGTTTCCAGCTTTTCTGCCCAACTTTTTTTTGCCAACCCTGATCGTTTTATTGAAAGAATCTACATCAGTTTGTCAATACCAAGTGTGCGTTTGCAGCGTTAACTTTAGAGCATGCTTTCAAAACAGAGCTTTCTTCTGACTCGTGAAATGTCATCCGGCAGTCTTAAATGGCTCACTACGTAGGTTAAAATGTTAAGTTATAAGCTAAGATACCTTGAGCGTAGATGCTTTACTCCGGAGTAGTGGTATGGTCTGAAATTATTGGTGGTAATGCTACAATGTGGATTCCTATCCAGTGGGATCTGCAATCATAAGAAAGGTTGACAAAATCGGATGACCGCGAAGCGGGAATCCGTTTTGTAATAACAAATATGCATGAATGTGAATTGATGGAGAGATAGTGAAGGAGACTCTACTTTTGGAAGAAAAGAAGATATAGACGTGGATATCTAACCTTTTGAAATCTATCTTGATGGGATTTGGTGCGCGGAAATCAGTTAAAATGTTGAGTTTTCGTTTTGTTGGGATGACGTGGAAGAACAATCATTTACCGCAGAGTTTTGAGTAAAAACTGCTGCTAATAAAAACATTGTTGACGTGGGGTTATACTAACATTACTGACTGGGGGAAATAATTAAAAACCGTACCATTCTAGAGCTCGCCAACACCTTTGTTTTAAATTTCTTTTTTAATGATTTTGACATTGCTTGAATTGTTTTCCAAAATAGGTCAGCATGATTCTGCATTGAAACGAACCTCTCCTAGGATCACTTTGAACTGTGTAAAGTCAAACCTCCATTTGCAGCTACCCATCCAAAACGAAAATGGCTTCTAAAGTACTTGACATTATTGCTGTTTACAAAAGGTGGTTATCAGTTATTATTGTATCGAATCTCCCAATCAGACAAATCAAAATGTGTTTATATATAGTTTACTAGTTTTGTATAGTTCACATTTTTATCCTTGAACATCAAGTTTTGGTTTCTATCTTATTTACATATTTATATTTTGATTGTGTTATATTATGTAGATGGTGTCATAACGCTTCGTGATAAAAATATCGTATCCTTCGCTAAAGGAAGTAGCATCGCCACCTTATTAGAACGACTGCGTCTTCAAAACCTTTCTTTTTACTCTTGGTGGCCGTTTGTTAAGAGGATCGATTGTAATATTACGCACAACAACTGTTTTCTTTACGAGAACGCCGCGGAAAAGGCGAGTCATGAATATTGAGCGATGTTCGTTTTCATGTCTGTGAACTGAAACCGCACGATTATTTTAAATTAACAATTCTAATTTGAATTTGTGGATTATCAGCTTTCTTTTCTCAGTTTTCTTATCATCTATCTCTTAGAGTGATTGACTGACTGGAAAATGGATAGACGGTAAATAACTTCCACTTTGACCGGCCATGAGGTCTTTTGAGAACTTATACCAACTTTTAAGCTTTCCCAAAACGTGTCTCAAGTTGTTCAAAACGAGTGACGAAACGAAACATCTGCCAGACGCGGAAAACGATTATAAATTTGTATTCACTTAGGCCCACTTAGCCGGCTACAACAGGTCCCTGCCGCCTACAATCCCTTCAACTCGATCCGGCACACCTAGCAGTGGTAACTGCCGTTTCTCTCATATGTATCTATAATTGTTAAATTATGGTGGTGTTAGTTTGGAGAGCCAAACACTGTTGCTAATTTAGTCACGACAAGTTTTTTTCATGTCTTGTTTGTTTTCATATTCCGGTTAAAGGAAGTTTCACTTGCAGTAGTTATTTTAAGTGATATAGATCAGTAAAACCCTTCAGCGACTTTGCAATTGGACGACCACCAAGTATATTATAAGTGTGCGCCTCCTTTCTTCGCAGCTGCGTGTATCAGGATATCTTAATTTCTTAAATCCTTACAATATTCAGTAGGATTTTTCAAAATCTCTTTAGTTAATAAATATTTTACAAATTACTTTTGACTGAACAGTTCAACGGCTATGAACGCTGGGTTCTTTCAATCTTTTATGTTTCGTGCAAAGTGGGTTTTTTTCGAAGTCGAATAGCCTATACAGCATGTGCGCGTACCCTGTTTACTTTTCCCAGAAATCATTTAGTTTATATTCTAGATGCAGATAAATGAATAAATGCATTTTGATGCCCTTAGATAAGCCGAGGAAAGGTGTCTTTTTCAGGAAAAACATTTTCAGAAATGTTGCATAAACTACCCTGCTTTATAGTGCCTATAACCAGTTTGGCATCCGCCTTTGAAATGCGAACCATACATTCCTTTATTTTCCCCTTCCAACATAGTTGTAGTCGTCTTCTGTATGGTTACTAAGTTAGATAAACGTCTCGATACGTAAAATCTTTCCTCAGTCTGCTAGTCTGTAGAATTTTGTTTTATTTTTACTTTTTGGCAACTTTTTGTACGATACTTTGTGTTTGAGCAATGGCAATCTGTTTCCGAAACACTTTTGTGTTTTAATTATTCTACAGACTCTGTTTACCTATTTTTCCAATGAGACATTATTTGGTTCCGTCCACTTTGGCGAGAGGAAAAAGTATTTTCCTAAAATATCAATAAAGTATATCTACATTCGTGCGTTTCACCTGTCACCAAAACAGTGTTGTTGCCACAGTATTTCTCAGAGGAAATTTAATGTTTATTTCCTAACCGCTTTCCTGAGTATCTTCATGGTCCCTGTAGAAAACTCACAAGCTAACTTTAAGAATAAAAACTAGGTGCGCTTGATAAAAAAATCGATGGTTAACAGGTTAGATGTGGTATCTATTTCGACAGAATTGTTATGTGTTTTATCATTAAATATTTATACTGCATCAGTTTAGTTTTAGGAAAAATCGTTTAGCAGAACTCAAATTGCTTGTTTGCAAATTAAATATGAGGTCCTTGAGCCGTGATAATCAGGGCTTTTTTCAAGTTTCAACAGCTTATACTAACTTACGTATATTTTTCACTATCTCATATACATGTGCGATTTCTTTTTGTATCGTAACAACTTCGCAATCCTTATCACAGTGACATAAGAAAGGCTTTTATTGCGATATATAAGCAAAAGAGAATTAAACTTATATTCAAACATGTTTGGCTGTTTGCCATGACAATAACCAGCAGGAAAAATGTAATTTTTTTTGGTTTTCTTTATTCGGCGAACGGAATTTCCTGAACAGAGGAAAGAAATCTCTCTGTGGGAGAGTAAAAGCGACTCAGGCGCCTCCGCTTTCCCCAAACCCTGCTCGCCCAATACCCTGGCTGCAATCTTTAGCAGCGATCGTTGTTTTTTTTTCTTCGCTCGCCAACGATCGTGGCTTTGCCGCTCACTGTTAGTGGTTTCGCTGCTAAAAAATAAAAACACTTTGGCACCCAGGGTACTCGCCCAAAAAGAGCAACAAGAGAAACAAAGAAACAAACGATCGGTACCCAAAATTCATGATTCACTGATCAGAGCGAGGTCCACTAATCTTAAGTGTTGAGCTGTAGGTTCTGACGCGCGTTATGGGGTAAACTCTGCAGACTCGAGGTTATGTAACAGGACAACGAAGATTTCCAACGCGAGATAACAATAATTTGATTCACACTGTTGAGATTCAATGAAGGATAAGACCCAACGGCTTTATGGGAAATGTCCAAAGTGTTGCATAATCGATGCTTTACTTTTTCCATCATATTCTGGAATCGAAGTATATGAAAACTGTTTTCTGTAAGGAAAGTGTGGATGGCTTCTATCATTTACCGCGTGCAACTATAATTGTGGTTATCATGTACTTGTGTACCCATAAAGCCAATAGGTCGTTCAATGCTATTGCTTTTAGGTGTCAGCGTTTTTTTCTAGTTGAGTGTACTCCAAAACAAGGTATCCAAGCCACAATAAAGCACAGCTACGTTTAGTTTGGTGTATCTAGGTAAAACCAGCTGTAAAAAGCGGTAGCTTTTAGCCTAAAAGTGTATCGCTCCCGGCATAATGAGAACGCCATAGAGCTTCGGCCTTTTTCATCTGTTGTTTATACTTATCCTGAATCCCATTCCATTAGTGCATATCGATTATTTGTCATAATACCATAAGGACTTACCGAAAATAACCCCACAAAGTGAGATTCATTATCTTCTCTATGCTTTTCTCCCGTCTGAGCTGGTGAAACTGGCAAAAATCAACAGGCTACTGTGATTTATGGATACCGCATTGTAAAATTTCTCGAGTAGATAGTTCTAAGGGTATACGTGTTCCTGAAGGGACATTTAGACCAGTTTATTTGAATGTCCTTGAATTTTTTTCAAATTTACCGATTCACTCACAGCTTAGAGGTTGACAATAAGTGGTCGGCGATAGGCAAGCCAGCTGACACTGACCAACCGTAGCCTGTGTTTACAGATAGGATCCCACATGGAATTGAAAATATTGCGATTAGGTAGAATCACCTCGAAAAATTTAAGATCTGTCGAACCGCGAGTTATTCGATGATTTGTGTGTAACCAGGAGAATTTGTTCGTGTTTGGCAAGAATATTTAATTTGAAAGAAATGCTAAATCGCAAAAGTTAGTGGCGTCATTTGTTCAGTAAATAAAGGAAAAGGTGAGATCCGCCTCGTATTTCCATTAAGGCTCTAAAATCAGCTTTATGGAATCGTGATATTTAAAGAGAACATTAAGCTCAGATCTTTGCGCCGAATGTTAACTTAAAAGCCAAATGATCACAGTTTTCGGTGGTCAGAAACTAAAACTAGCCATGTTTTAGGTTTGGAGAGCGATGTATGACACATCGCAAGTCCTGGTGTATGTGTAATTGTAAAACATACTTATCTCTTCAACCAACGCATAAATAAGCCTGAACTAACGAAAAATAATTATCCAAAAAAAAGTATACAAAATGCAAAAGAAAAATTAACATATGAAACAAAAGAAGCACACAATAAGACTTATTGACAAAAGCTACAAGGACGCAAAAACTTTACGAAAGGAAAAAAGAAAACCACGTCACAAACCAGACAAAGACAATTATGTACTCCAGGCGCCCACAATAAGTAACTTTACTAGCACTGTGCATGTACCGAACCTTCGGTGAATAACAGTCTAACGACCGAAATATGTCGGCCAATAAATGTTGCATTACATTTGATATGAGATCGGGATCACATAAACGTGGATTTGATTCAGTAGCTTTATATGATCAGAGAAATACACATCACTTAATTTTCGCAGTTTGTAACGGTGTAATGCACTTATATAACACTGTCGTGGTGTGTTGATGTTCTCTTTTCGGAAATTTTTTCCAGCTTATTTTTTGGCAAGATGAATCTTTGCTGGGCTTTTGTATTCTGCACTACTGAAACTGGTTACGGAAATTGAAATGTAATGGTGTATTTTCAGTTAGGAATCAACAGAAATGATGATCAAACATAGCCAGGAATATACCGATAGTGACAGATCATTCTTTATCGATGCGCACATGATGTACTATCACCGAAGAAAAAGTGTAGCAGCTTTGTAATGAAAGTCACTGTAAAATAACGATCTGAAATCGGTTTTTTTAAATGAAATTTGAAAATATATTATGCGTCAATTTTGAGACGAGTTGGCGGATCGGATTCGGATTAGCAATGCAGACGAGGCAACATTATCAAATATACTATTAGATAACAAATGCTTTGAGAAATTTTTTATAATTACTGTAAACTGCTTGTCTTTCAGGCCAGCTTGCTCCACACTTAAAGCGTATAAAGTAATATTTTCCCTAAATTTTACATCAATTCCACTTATGAGACGAAAATAAGGGAGATTTTTTTATAAATACGCATCAAAGGAATACATTTGAGAAATTTCTACTCACAGTTGCCAGGACGAAATTGCTGAGTGACAATATCTTTCTTGTGGCGGTTTAACTCATGGGCTTACTTTCTTTGATTCTTGATAGAAAGCTGGCTTTCGAGCGGAAGAAATTTTATGTAGTCATCTTATCCATTCGTCTATTTAAATTTGGTATTGAATCTATATTTATTTCTCACTCACCAGTCAAGTTCATTTCCATACGTGGGTCTGTTAACGATAAGGTCTTTTCCGTCACCTTTCAAATTTGACGGGATTGCGGTAAATTAATTACATTATTGGATCAATCAATCAATCCTTTATCAATCAATCCTTTATTTAAACACGTGACACCTAGGAGTACAGAAGTTCTCGTTAAAACGTGTACGTGTATGTACAATTAGAAATAAAACCGTTGGATATGTCAGTTTGGCATAAAGAATCTTTTTTTCCGTGAAAAGGAACAAAACTGGGAACTGCTAAATTTATATTCCATTGCGGAATTTCCAGTGACTTCTTTGTTTTATAGTCTGATATAGACAGCTTTGATTTATAGTCCGATTATGGTGGCACCGTGAATGAGGATCAGCACCGATTGGTGTGAAAAATGAGCGGTTAATTTCGCGATAAAGACAGCTTTTGCGGCGTTCTGTGATAATAACAGATGCTCTTTATAACAAGAAGTGCCTTTTTTCCCCCTTGATTTGCTTAGAAAAGATTGGCAGTTCGTAGTGAAGATGCAGTGAAAGGAAGCAGTTGGCAAGTTTCCCAAGCCGTTTGCAGTTTAGAAAATATTTATAGGACTCTTTCTTAGTAAAGACAAGGCGACAGGAAAAATGCCCTAGTCACTTTTTCCTACCTCTGAGAAACTGGTGCTCACTCTATTTTTGCATTTATCTCTTTGCAATTAAAAAAGAAAGAAATTGTGTTTATTTGGTTTTGCTGTGAAAAGAGAATGCTAATTCAATATACGTCCTAATGCTAATGCTAAATTTAGGGAAAATATTACTTTATACGGTTTAAGTGTGGAGCAAGCTGGCCTGAAAGACAAGCAGTTTACAGTAATTATAGAAAATTCCTCAAAGCATTTGTTATCTAATAGTATATTTTTATAATGTTGCCTCGTCTGCATTGCTAATTCGAATATACGTCCTAATGCTAATGCTAATTCAATATACGTCATATTAGGAAATATTTCTCCAGGGAATCTACTGAGAAATTAGTTCATGCTTTTATTAGTAGTAGACTGGATTACTGTAATAGCCTTTTGTACGGAATCCCAGAATATCAAATTATGAAATTACAACGTGTTATGAATGCGAATGTGAGACTTGTATGTCGTGCGCACAAGTTCTGTCATATTACACCTCTACTCGCTGAACCACATTGGTTACCAGTGCGCTTCAGGATACATTATAAGATACTCTTGAAACCTTTTAAAATTCTGCATAGCCTATCAGCTAAATACCTTTCAGATTTAATTAGTATTCAACGGCCTTCGTCCTACCATTTGAGGCGCAACAATAATGGTCGTTTGCTGGAAAGACCAAGTGTGAAAACTAAGAAAACATTGGGTGACAGAGCTTTCCTGGTAGCTGCTCCTTTCCTATGGAATAAGCTGCCAGGGTCCGCGCGCGAAGCAACGAACTTAGAATCTTTCAAGCCATAAACTTAATAACGTCTTACCTAACCCTATTTAATTTACCGGAATGGGCGCGTGAGTTACCGGAAAGGGCGTGTTAATCATACCAGTCTTCAGTTCCGCATTAGAAAGCATTCAATGACCTTTTAAAAGCCATACAATACCAGTAATTTTTCATAAATCCTACCCTTTTTTCATATCAAAAAAAAGCTTTGTGTGCCTGTACGTGTGACATGTTATTTTTATACCCAATTATCGATATCCGTTTTCCTCATTGTTTTGATTTTGAATTAATGTTCTTTATCGGCGATACAAAGCTAGACTCGTTTACTATAGCATCGATGATTTTGGACTTAAGTCAGCGAAAAATAAAACACTTCTTCGTGTAATGTAAAATTACTTTGAAATTTATCAGTCTATTAGCCAACATATAATGCTATGTATCGGTGCTACGCCACATCTATAGAGTTCATATGCTCGTCTCTACGATCCCAGGTTAATTTAACGAGTTTGTATAGAGAAGTGTTCTTGTTTAGCACCTTCCATATTCAAATTTTTTGCTACAGTAGACCGAAGATTAACCACACTTAAGTTTTGTTTATTCATTCAAATGTTTTCCCTCTGTGGGTGGTAATTAGAGAGGGAAATTTCTGGATCGTGGTTTCTAGTTGCGTCTCAATACCGGAAGAGGCGTGTGAGTCACCTCGGTCAATTATAAGTTCCGCATTTTACATTTGGGGTACAAGGCCACAAGGCCACAAGGACAACTACCGTTAATAAAAATAACTTCCTCTCCTTCTTAGAAATTATTTTGAATTGACGTACATTAATGTTGTGTGCTCGATTATTCTTTGCTATTATCCGCTTTCCTGTTTGATCAGTCTTTACCCTGGCTCCAGAGGTTTCTCTTTTTCTCCCTGTTTACAATCCTTTCGGGCTGCGAAGCAGGGAGATTGGCCGAGCTGCGTAGCAGCTCGAAACGATTGTAAACAGGGAGAAAAAGGAGAGAAAAAGAGAAACCTCTGGTGCCAGGGTAATCAGTCTTGGTCCCGTTCTCATAATAATGAAGTTGCTAACTTTTTGTCTCATGCAGCACTTTCTGTGACTATGTTCAAAAATGTGTGCAGCCGGATTATATGGCCGAAAGTAATCTTACTTGGTAGGTTGTTGTAGAAAACATAGTCGCCAATGAAAGGACTTTCCTTGGTCACGATTACCTGTTGAAATGTTGTAAGTTATTTGTTATCACGATAGAAAGGGAAAAATATTTTTCTATGGAAAACGGAAGGAAATACGCATCTAGGTCCTCCTGAAATTCGGAGAAATTGATTCGACCTTGAAATTCTTGAGTAACGACTAGTTAAAAACAGAACCTTCTTTTCCGGCTTTTTGTTGGATGCGCAGGCCGTTACTGTTATGCATGAGGGATCGGATTCTGGTTACGCAATATCAAAATGCCTCGCTGGAAGAGCTTAGTCCACATTTAAAAAGCAGCCAAGGATACAATGAAGAACTCTATAGTACCTTTGATAAATTTAAATTACTCTTTCATTTTGTCGCTGCAGCATAATCTCAAAAAAGAAAAGCAAAAACAACGGAATAAAATCTGATTTTATTTAGTCTTGCGCTTTGACTCAAGTTTAAATAGAAATTTTATTTTACCTTAGAAAACAGTAAATCGCCTTAGTTTAAGGTTTTTTTTTTTTTTACAGCGGACTAAGGCAGTTTGAAAAAAGTAATGAGAAGTAAGAAATTACTGTACTATGACTAAAAAATGTTGTGCTATAACTGGAAATATTTTATTATTTTGCAATCGTGGCTGCCAAGAATCAGGAACTTGTAAGGAAACTACATTCAGAAAGGGAAATCCAAATTTCCCTGGAAAAACTGACGTGAATTGAAAAGTGTACAACTTCACTCATCTTCAGTTTCTACCTTTTTGGCCACGATATAAATTGTGTTTTTTCAATAGGTGAACAGGGCAACTGTAAGATGAGGTTTTATGCAACAACTGATTTATATGTGTCTCATCTAGTGTCCTGTCTATCCTAGTCGTGATATGCTCTCTACAGCAGGATAAGCCTACACTGAAGGTGCCGTCTTACCTTATAGACTATGATTAGTTCACAAAGGATTTGTTCCAGCCATCACAATTTGTTCTTTCGACCAAGTTGCGTAACTTTGTCAAGATTACTTTTCTTTCGTCATCATCCCACAGCCTCACCGCAACACGAGAACTTGCCAGCGTGACGCAGTATACTAATTATGTATAAATGCTGATAGTTTCGAAAGAAACTGTTTGGGGCTGCGTCGGTGGGAGTAACGAAGTAATTTGGATATATCAACAAAGTTGAAGTGGTAAATTGGCCACCGTAACGATTACAAAAGCTGACGTTTCGAGCGTTAGCCCTTCGTCGGAGCGTTAGCCCTTCGCTCCGACGAAGGGCTAACGCTCGAAACGTCAGCTTTTGTAATCGTTACGGTGGCCAATTTACCATTTCAACTTTGTTGATATATCCAAATTACTAATAATGTAAACTTACTGCTGAGACAATCTTAAACCTCAGGTCTGCACAGCAAACTCCACCTCATAGGCTGTAAACTAACGATTGTGGCGGAAATTTGAACTACAACATTAATGAAGTTAAATGGCGAATTACATAAGCATTTCAATTATAGAAGGTACCTCTTGCTTTTAGGGACCGTTCATTTTTTACAAGGTGGGGGGGGGCTGGTGGGATTTGGGGGGTCACCAAAAAAAAACGGCCTTAAAGGGGGGCCATCTAAAAAAAATAAGGCAAAAYGGGGGGGMCACGTAAAATATTTTAGTAATGCCTTAAGATGGGATATCTTTTACACCGAAAAAATTTATCCTGAATTGGGGGGGTTATGGAAAAAAATTAAACGACTGAGGGGGGGTCATGCAACTTTTTAATGAAAGTTCAAAAAATCCCACCAGCTCCCCCTACCTCGTAAAAAATGAACGGTCCCTTAGAGTCTCGGAGGAGCTTCAACCTCGTCATTGGTCGTCCATTTAGATTTAGATATTTTCCGTACTTGATGGCTTTGTTATTGTCACATCTGTATTCGTTTCTTGCGACTATGTTGTCAATCTAATGCGGAAAGTTATGACCAATGAGGTACTGTGTTCTAGTTTCATCCGATGTTTTATTTCTTATTATACAAAAACTGGAAGTTGGTATCAGTTGATACTTGGTTCAATTTGACTTCTTAGGTCCATTGTAATGTTGAAGGAAAATGGTTGACAGAGATGCGAGCATTGGTTTACAGAATAATTTATTAAGAGAACTGTTTATTCATCGTTATTCATTGTTACTGGGATTTTATCTCAGTATTTAACGTACAGACTGATATATACAACTATACTTAAACGTGAACTTGTAAGAAGTCTTATAAACAAAATTTTTCATATCGAATATGACCTAGCCTTCATCATCCGTTAAAACGACCTCAGGCACAGAAATGTCGACGATCTGTCTCATTATGAAACCAC